GGACTCAAACGTCTGTCGCCATCAACCCTAGAATCTAACCACGGCAGAGCCAGAAGGGACTCCCTCCCTTCTAAAAACGAGAGGTCGGATTTGCAGTCTGACGGCTTTTCTTGTCCGACACCGTGGTCACGAAGCACAGACTAGCCTGGATGAGACAACCTGCTCTTACCTCCTCCATTTGTTGTGCCAAGTGTACACTGAGGCCACTGGAGTCCATATGGCTGGTCAGGCCCAAAAGGAGGTTAGCCAAGCCAGGGTAGGCAGCCAGGTCCTCATCGGTGAGTGAGCAAGGGGGCAGGCAGCTCCCACAACCTGTGCGGACGGGAAACGGCAAAAGAGAGTAAAGCTCTGTGGCAGGAGGAGAGAACCTTTGTCCCTCCAGATGTTGTTGAACTACAACTCCCATCTGTCCTGGAAAGCATAGCCAATGGCCAGGGATAGTAGGCATTGTAGTTCAGCAGCATCTGGAGGGTCAAAGGTTCCCCACATTTGCTTAATGCCGCAGTCTCCCCTCAAATAACCCCAATGAAGTTACCTGGCTGCCGCACCAACTGAACACCGACGGTCCCTAAGGCAGATGCCATTGGCCCTTTACCAGGGAAAATCAGCTAGAAAAGAAAGAGGTGAGATGAGAGCTGTTAGCAGGCAGAAAGATAGACAGGTCCCTCGGGGGAAATATATGCTTGCTGCCATACAGAAACAGCCCCTACTGTCTTGTGTGGCAACAAGCAAACCTGGAAACACAGCTGGTCTCTGGCATATCAGTGCTGGCTGAAGAAGGAATCTATACACCTCTGCCAGCCAGATAAGCATATGTAAAAGGTGTCAGCGGAAGGGAGGGTTATGAGTTTGTCTCAGGCCAACTTTAGGAGATGCCTGTTGGAAGTGTGCCCCAACATATGTATAGGCACTGCTATGGAGGCATCTACTCAAAGCTTCCTGCACAGGAATACATAAACTCCTCCCCTCCATCACCCCCAATTTCAGGAAAGTCATGCTAATCCCTAAAGGAGATGCACACATATGCCAAACTCCAACCTGACACTCTAAATTGAGGAAGACAATTTTTGTTCTCTCCTTACGGAATTGGATAATTGTCGAGTTAGACGGGACCACAAGGCTCATCTACTCCAACCCCTGCTTAAAAATCTCCAAGGAAGGAGAGTTCACAACCTCCCGAGGGAGACAGTCCCACGGTCAAAACAGCTCTTACTATCAGAAAGTTCTTCCTGATGTCGAGTCCTAATCTCCTTTCTTGTAACTTGAACCAAGTTGGTTTGGGTCCTACCCTCCGGAGCAAGAGAAAACAAGCTCGCTCCAGCCTCCAGGTGTAAGCCAGGGGTCCCCTATCTTATATTTGTGCAGCTGGTTCTTCCTGCCTAAGTGCTGAACCTGTCATTTGTCCCTATTGAAATTCATTTTGTGAGTTTGGGCTTGGCTCTCCAATCTGTTAGGGTCACCTTGAATCCCAATTCTCTCTTCAGCGGCATTGGCTACCCCTCCCAGTTTGGTGTCATCTGAAAATGAGCATAGGTCATGCTAACCTATAAGAAGCATCCTTGAACGTCCTCATCACAGAGATTGTGCAATCCTTTAAGGCACCCTATAGTCCATTGGTCCTCCTCTTGCCAATCCCACGGCAAGCATGAGGAGGGTGTCCTTTCCATTTGCTCTCCCTCAAGGCATAGGGCAAGCTGAGGGAGACATCACTATATGCTGCTACAGACAATCACACTGACCCAAAACCAGACTCCTCATCCCATTGCCCCAGAATGCAACGGGGCACGCACCAAGCTAAACATCCCGTCCTTTGCACAGATCTACCACCGCCATCCCATGACACTCCCAGCCCTGTGCTTGAGGCAACTGGTCTTCAACTGGCAGGCCAAGGCGGCCACAACAGCAGCACTGCCACCATACCAAGATATGGCAGAAGAAAGAAATGGGTCCCCCCAATGCGTATAAATAGGGTTTTAGGCGCTTCTTTCCAGGAGGGTCATTGCTTTCTGTGGGAAAAGCTCCAGGGCCTTAAAAATCTGCGAGGCAGGCAGAAATTCAACTGGTGAAATTCCCTTTAAACGAAGAGGGGAAGCTTCACTGGTTGAATGTCTGCCTGCCTGCCTGGTGTAAAACAGTCAAAAAGCATGTGCACCTTGCCATATATGGTTTTTTTTTAACCCACAAAGCCTACTCACCCCAAAAGCCCATTTTCTTTGCGAAAAGTAAAAATTAGCATGAGTTCAACATCGAGGCACACCAAGATGCCCCTCCCCCCAATTCCGCGCTCGTTTCTTTTTTAGGGAAAAAGTGGGGGTTCCGCCAGTGACGTCACGAGAAGCTTTCACCTTTCCCACCTTTTCTTTCTGCCCCGAGGGCTCGATCCGCACGCGGCCAAAACACGGCTTCCAACCGTCTGCCCCGCGCGCCCGGCAAAGCCAAAGTTCCGAGAGGAGGCGGAGCCACCTACTTGGGGCGCGCCTTAGAAACCGGAAGCCAATGAGGAGCGGCGAGAAGAAAAGGAAGGCGGGAGGTTGGTGACAGAAAGGGCGGGACCTCGTCCGCTTATTTACATCCCGATTGGTCTGTGTCTGCAAACCGCCTTCGTCGGGCGCTTTTAATATTCATTCTGAATCTTAAGGAGGCCTTCGCCCGCTGGGGCCGATGGGAGTTGTAGTCGTAAACATCTGGAGGGGCTGAGGCTGGCGATGAGTTTTGTTTTAGTCTATTCTATTCTATATAACGTTCTGTAGATTATGGTTGTAGATTTTTTAGTTATAATTTTATCGTTTTATCTTTTTTTGTAAACCGCTTTGAATTCCTTTCTACAATCTAGCAGTGTACAAATTTTATGAAATAAATAAAAATTCCCAGCCAATGCTTTTAATCTGGTTTTTAAATTGTATTTTAATCAACTTGTTTTTATTATTGGTTGTTAGCCGCCCTGAGCCCGGTCTTGGCTGGGGAGGGCGGGGTAGAAATAAAATAATAATAATAATAATAATAATAATAATAATAATAATGTTTTGCACAACTCCCAATGTTCTTTCTCTGCGTCCCAAGCATCACAGACGCACCTCAGGACTTATTGGGGAGTGACACACAGACAACAGAACAAAGGGCTCCCTCTTTAATAGTTTACTTGCAAGGGGGAATTTTGTCAGGGCATCTGGTCATGTCACAGCACTGCAGAAGTGAAGAAAGCTACACTCAAAAGATTTCTCTCTCCTAGTATTATCATTATTATTCATTTTATTAGTCGTTTTTTAGGTCACACCAACTCAAAGCCACTTACAATATTTTAAGCAAAAGCCGAATACCAACCTTTTCTAAATAAATAAACCATATTAAAACATCCCCACTCATGTAAAAAGGCCACAGATAGTTAAAAGTCAAAGGCCTGATTAAAAAGGAATGTTTTTGCCTAAAGATATGCAACAATGGGACCAGGCAAGCCTCCTTGGGGAGAGCATTCCTACAACTATTAAAGGTACAGGAGTCTCTTTTTGTACCCAGCCATCATGGCAGGATATAGTGTTAGCCTTGAGACCAGATGCCTTAGTTCTTCCTCTGGCACAGACCGATTACCCGAGAGACTTTAGGAGAATCACTAGCTCAGCCTCAGCTTACCCTGTTTGTAAAATAGGTGTATTCTATTAATGTACCACTCAAACGTTTTATAGCAAGCTTTTGTTTATTTTTCCATGGGGGGGTGTGTCTTATGGGCTCATGTGAACCACTATGAGATTCAGCTTGGTAAGGAATTTGTTACAAAACTGTACAGCACTGTGTACACTAGAAACTGCTTTTAAAAAGTCTGTATACATGTAGTAGCAGGTAGTGGGAGGAGTCCACCTTTTTCATTACCTTAAATTTGCCTTGTGAAACCAGCCTAAAACTCAGTTATTCCAGTATTGTTGCCACCCATACGACTAGGTGATGGCCATGCCTAGCATCTGCTATTTGAACTGTCTCTGTCCATGGTAGCTTCTTTTGATTGATAGGTTTTGCAATCTATAGATTTCAGTTTGTGTTTATCTGTGGAGCTGAGATTCTATCTGGACCAGGAAAACATAGCCAGGGGACAGCCGTTAGCCCAGATCAATTAATGTGGAGTTTTACAAGTGTGTTAGGTGCCTTATGCATACCTAAGATTTTGAAAATAAGAAGTTGCCTCTTGGTCCACCTACCCCTGTGCTCTAGGTGGCAGCGTATCTCCATTCCAATGTTCCTGGCAGTGTTATTTCCCATCACTGGAACCTGATCTTTACCAGTGACCTATTGTACCATTCTTTCAATGCATTCTCTTATGATCAGAATGGAGTTTCTGATTATTGCTTGTGACTGTAAATAGAGACGGATGGATTGTCATAGAAACCAAGATACAGGGTCATGGGTTACAGGGAACAGAGTGAGTGTCGAGGAAAGGAATAGAGGGCTGCAGAAAGCATAATAACACTGACCACTCTTACACTTTGCTAGATCAAACAAAGACTGATAACAGGTGTCTGCCCAGCCAGAGAGGAAAAGGACCAGCCATCCTTTTGTACTATCTAAAAAAAGCCACTAGAGGACAGTGATGGCTCAATAAATATCCAGTTTATGCTTTTTGATACAGTAGTATGCATATGGATGGTACTGTGGCCCTCTTTTGGGGGGCTGTTTTGTACCCCCAATGTCTCCACACCTGACAGCACCCTCGAAAATATGTTTCTCATAAGTCCATCCATGTACATAAGAAGATGAGAAGAGCCTGCTGGATCAGGCCAATGGGCCATTTAGTCCAGCATCCTGTTCTCACAGCAGCTAGCCGGGTGCCCATGATAAACCCACAAACAGGATCCAAGCAGAAGAGCACTTCTCAGAAGCATTACGGACTCTAGCTGTGGCGGCAGAGCATAGCCATCATGGCTAGTAGAGCCAACAACAGCCTCCTCCGTGAATTTGTCTAATCCTCTTTTACAGCCAGTATTAGTTGGTGGCCAACACTGCCTCCCATGGGAGCCATTTCCATAGTTTAATGACAGGTCAGTGGTAAGACTGACACACAGATAATTTGAAACAAATTATTTTAAAAACTTGAGCCAGGCAAGTCAACACGTACTTTTACTTGGTAAGAACAATGAAGAGTCTCGTGGCACCTTAACGCATTTATGGCGGCATAAACTTTTGTGAACCAGAGTCCACTTCATCAGATGCATGAAGTGTTAATGGCTCTTCGCTGTTTTGGCTGCAACATTCTAGCACAGCTAATCCTCTGGAAATTAATTAGTGTACATTTATGTGAATTAACATATGCAAATGTGTGTTTTTTTAAAAAAAAAAAGGCTGGTGTTTTACCGCTGGTAAAAGCCAGAGATATTTTTTCTCTCCTGTTGTAGGGGACTTGGAGTTTGACCATAGAGAGCCATTCCTGAAACCTAGCAAAGGGGAAGTTATCACAACAATGCAATAATAAAAACCAGGAGTGTTGTTTCTTAGCTCTTCTTCGCGTTCCTACACAAGATTTTTACTCTTCCTGCAAACAAGAGGGAGGAATAGGAACTCTGCAAGTAGGAGGGAGGTTTATGAAGGAATAAAATACACACCTGCCTAATGTTTTCACAGATACAGGTAAGAACAGTCAACTTGGTATCACTAAATGTTTCTAATTTAAAAGCATTGCTATCAATGAAGAGTCAACCAAGAAGCACTCTGAGTGTTCTCTTAACTCTTGTGGTCCCAAAAGCTGTTTGACTCACTAAGCAATGAGCAATCCCCATAATTTCAGGAAACGTCTCAGACATTATTATCATTTTTTTGCGCTACTATTAACTCAATAGTATAACTGAGAGTAGTTTTGTACTGTGAAAGGTTCTCCAAAGTTTCTGATCCACCCAGTCCACAATGTAGTCAGTTTTTACGGAAATTCCTATTTTTGTTTGAAGGTTGCTTTTATTGAAGGCTCAGAAAAGACTTAATTCCCTTTGCAACGTTGTACTCTTCATGTTCACATTGTCAACCTGTTGGGTATAGACCAAACAGCCACATCTTTGTGAAGGGCTCCTTTTCCCAGTGGTGTCCCTCTCTATCCCCTATTTCTTCTCCATCATGACCTAGACGTAATAGCTCCTTATGGAGCGAAGATGTGCCTCAGCCCACAAACGCAACCTGGCGCATGGCAGGCAATTTGCTTCCCTCCTCCTCTTTGGGAAGATACTGAGTTCAGCTGGTGGTCATCCTGTATTCTCTCCTTGTCTTCCTTTTGGCTGCCATATTAAACACGATCAGCATTCTCAGGTCACTCATCCTTTTCCACTTTGATCTCAACGAATGAGCTGAGGTCAGGACAAAAGCCTTTGTGGCTGGGCGGCCTAGGCGGTGTGCCCGCCCTGGCTCCTTCCTCTTGAAAATGCGGGTTGTAGAGGTGCAAGGGCAGAAGCTGAGCTTCAGCGGAGGGCAGGCGGTCAGAGGGCGACCCATAAACCCGGTTAGCTTTGGTGCCATGCTTTGAGTTGGCATCAAGTCGGTAGCAAAGCTGAGTGAGGGGGGTAGCGCGGAATCGTGGGGGGCGTGCCACCCACACACCTGGCTCACTTAGGCTGTCTTCCTCGTCTGACATGAGCTCCTCTGTCACGCCTTGCCACAAACGCTGCTCTTCAGGGCCCAGCAGACGCGCCACCCCGGAACGATTTGCAAAAAGCTAATGGTAAGACAAAATGAAGCCTAATTAGTCATTCTAAGAATATCATCTTTGCCTACGCCCCTGCAATTACTCACCCCATCTGTCCTCACTGGTCTGTCTTTCCCAAATGTCTCTCCCTGCCCCCTAACTCCTCTATCATATACCTTCCCCCCATTTTGTCCTCCCCCTAGTGTTGGAGGACTCCAAAACTCGGCTCTACCCGGGCCTGCCATATTGCAGGCCCCCACCACCTTAAGAATTTGCTTGCTTGCTGCCCAGTGTCTTTTGAAAAGTGGAACCCGCTCTGTGGCATGTGTCTGAAAATCACAGCTTTCTGCTGCCCAGCATTTGACAAGCTAGCTTGGGAATCGTCTCTGCAGCAGAAATAGAACACATGCTCCAAGGCCTGCAGTTTATAATGCAAACACCTCTTGGCAGCTGTGGGTTGATGGGCTCATTTGCCCCACCACCCGAGTGTCTGCTTCCCTGGGTGAAGGAAAGTCTCTTCTGCTACAGGGAGGTCTCAGAAGAGAGTGAAGCTTTACTCTGAGGCAGGCTTCATTTTTCTTTCTTTTTAAAGGAAGACTAGCACTGCTTTGATAAATGATCCTGGAAAACAAGTGGGATGCAGACATAATGATCCAGTTCCCTGGTTTTGTCTTCTTCCTTTTTTTTCTGTTTTAGGCTGCTGTCTTAGAAGCCGACACTTGCAAATAAGCCATATTGAACTCAATAGGCCTTATGTCTGAGTAAATACACTTAGGAACGAACTGCTAGGTAGGAAGCTAATTAGAATGAATAGTAGTTTGTTTAACAACTTTGATCAAGTAATTTATTTTTGACTGAGAGAATCCTCTCACCCTGCTAACAGACCAATCCTGTGCGTATTTATTCAGAAGTTACACTTTTTTCAATGGGATTACCTTATGTATGTTCATGAGACTGCAGTCTTTAAAAAACGACATTTCAGTTGCAATCCTAACCTATCCAGGATTATGCCATATTGGAGTCAATAGGACTTCTAAGCAGACATAGGATAGCACTACTCATTAAGGATTTTACCAGTTAAATCACTTCTAAAACTTCCATAACATTTTGTAAACCGTCTCCGGTTACCTTTGGCAACTTTCCATAAAGCATACGCATATTTAACTCAGATGTAAGTCTCACTGCAGTTCGTAGGGCTTATTCGCAAGAAGTGTACATAAGATGACAGCCTTAAGGAGTAAGCTCCATTGAACACAGTGCCATTTACTTCTTAGTTAGGATCAGGTTATAAAAAGGGGAATGAAATGGTGTTGTCTGAGGAAATGTCGTTACGGCTGGAATCCAAGAACAGTCAGAACTCAAATGTTATGAAAGTCACAGCTGAGTAGTAAACATGAACTTATTAATTAGGAAATCTGAGTTATTTAACACCTAAACTGCTTGATGAAACTGATGGAATGTCTTTGCAGCAGTTTGAACATATATTTACTTCAAGTAATTTCAACATCACATAGTTCACTGAAGATATAGAGCAGTTCCCACTACATGTAGCCTGTTCTAAGCTGCCTTATATAATCAGGGTTAGAAAGGACCCCAAAGATCTATGAATAGGGAACCTCTGGCCCTCCAGAGGTTGTTAAACTACAACTTCCACCATCCATGGCCATAGGCCATGCTTGTTGGGGCTGATGGGAAGTTGTTGTTCAACAACATCTGGAGGGCCAAGTCAAATCCCTCTGCCAATGCAGGAAATTCTCTGCTATAGCATCCCTGATAGGCATCTGCCTTCGGCATAAAAAACAAAGAGTCCAACTTCTGAGGCAGGTCTGTTCCACTGTTAAGCAACCCATCCCATTCAACAACCGGAGTGTGCTGAGCAGAGATGAAATGGGCCTAGAGACCAGCCCTGTAATGAAAATTTGGAAGGAGTTGTGGTATGTTTAGCCTGGAGCATAAGAAGCCATCTTTAAATATTTGAAGGTCTGTCATAGATGACAGAGCAAATTTCCAGGGAATAGGATATGAACCTACAGTTCAAATTACAAGGAAGAGAATTCCAGCTAAATATTAAGAACTTTCTTAGTGCACCAAACCTATTCCTTCACCTGTCATATACAGTGTTGCTTCTTTATGTTTCTAACCAGAATATAAATGCCATTTCCTACTCCACTTCTGTGTGATTTTTGGAACTGATGGAGGAATGCATTTGGGCTTAAATAAAAAGAGGGGCAAAAAACTATTTTTGGTAGATAATGTAGTGTTGAGATAATATGGGAGAAATAGTTCCTCAGAATAATGGATTGGTTCCTTACCCGGTAGCGTCTACTTCGTAGTTTCTTCTCCTCCTTCTCTTTGAGTCCTTTGAAGGGATTCAGAGAGTTGCGATACTCACGTCGTTTGGTTAGAAAGTAGGCCACACAAGCACCTAACAAAACAAAAAGTGGGCAAAGCAATTGCAGGCATGAAGAGCAGGAACCGGGGCACAACTGAGTGACCAGAGGATATTTATGTCTGCATGTCTGTGTATATGAACAGCCAGCATTTCAATGTCACCAGAAGGTAAAGACTTTTCTCTTTACCTGGGATTTTTGGCTCCTAATTTGAAGGGTGGCAACTGTGGCCTCTTTTAGTGGGGTAGAGTTTGCAAATCCTGCCTTTTTTGTGCATAGCTGTGCTTTTACATTGTCATTGAATATTCTGAACTGGTTCCAACATAAGTCACTTTAGTCACTGTCTGAGAAAAGTGACTGACAAATATCACAACAACAACAGCAGTAAGTTCCAGAGTGAACACCAAGAGAGATATTTATTTTCAGACCTGGAGCAAAATGTACCAGCAAAGTGTATAAGGATTACTCAACAGGTAAAAATGTTCTAGGTATGCTCTAACAATAAAATCCAGACATGAAACAAGTGAAGTGTTTTTATTCACCCTCATCTTACCTTTTAGTTCTTTGTCAGTGTAATTGTGGTGATTTGATACCAATTCATGCTTCAGTTTCTCCAGCAAGAATTTCACTACAGAGATATTCCATGAAGATTTAATGCTGGGGTGGGGGGAGAGAGAAAGAGAATGGAGAAACGTAAAAGACTTCTTCAAAACCCATGTTTTTAGCAATGCCTTCAGCACAACCTCCAAGTCCTCATACCATAATCTAACTAACCCTAAGTACATTATTCTCCCATCTTTACTGTGACTCTCTCCTTCTTCTCCTTCCTGTTGTCTCCCATGTGTTGCATTCTATATTACAAGCCCTTAAGGCAGAGACCTCTCCTCTTGTAATTTATAAAGCACGTTGCAAACAGTTGGCCCTATATAAGCATTAATAACCTGAACGTTATTAAGGTGCCTTAATACGGGATAATAATAATGAAGGTTGACTATTCAGGATGTTGAGATTAATTTCAGTGGGAACATGGGTTGCCAGATCAATAAAGGCGTTCTGGGTTCTATTAGCTATGCAGAAAAGACCGGCTTGATCCATGCAACTTCCTTCTCCCACCACAACGCAGTGAGAAGAGAAGCCACACTTGTTGGTTATCTTTCCTTTGCAGTTACTCTTCCTTATCTTATTTGCCAATCCCACCCAGAGCTCACCTCTCAGAGCCATCAAACCTCTTGTCATTGGTGATGTGGTTGTGGACATTATGGACCAGTTTCTGGGAGAGTAAACAGAAAGAGATAAGTGCCCCTCCACAGTAACTCTGCAAACCCCAAGCTATTAAAACAGAGCAGCATGCCCCAGAAAGTTAATTAAAATAAGCTTTGCAGTGTCTAAGCTGCTGGGCCCATGCCAAGTTCCTTGTGAGACACAAGCTCCAATATGTGGCAGTTATCTAAGGCAACTAACCGAGAGCACCAAGTCCCTCTTGCGCCTTGCATTCTTCTGTCCCATGCTTCGGTTTCTACAAGGAAGACTTGCAAAGCCCAAAGAGAAACGTGGCTCCCCGCGCATGTTGTCCTCCAAGGTGATGCTGTTGGGGGATACCTCTGGGCAGGAGAGAGAAGGATCATCCAGAGGCTGAGAGGAGGGGGAAGGTGGTGTGGCATAGACCCGTTGAATGGAGACATCTACAGCAGGTGATTCTTCTGCTCCCTGAGAACAAGAAAAAAGACTTGTACGACTTAATATGATATCCTTCATTCCAAACTGCAGCTACCCTTCCTATCGCAGCTGCTATTCCAATTCTACAGCTCTGGCTCAAAATGTGGGCCTTTAATTAATCTCTGCTCTACTATCCTTTAAAGTTCCTCCAAACCTTCTTTTGTGTGTTTTCACGCACGCACACAAAACGCATTGGCCTGCAGACACAAGTGCGTAATGGCCAAAACACATAGCTGAATTTTAAAGCCTCTTTTTATCGTTCACCGACAAAAGTTCACAGTTGGCTCAAGTGGTACGGAAGGCTCAAAGGCACTTCTCATAGCCCCATATATATGAAAACATTCTAACACTAACCCACTAGAACGTCTGCCAATCACAAGGTTGCCAATGCCTCTTAATCATCGCAAACAGCTCCAGCCTGACTCCCGTACCAGCTTTGGTATCACATATACAAATACACATACACTTTTAGCTCTTGCCAGTGCCCCCCAACCCCAGGCCACAACAGCAGAGCAGAGCTTGGCATGCCTCCCAGAATGCATCTCTCCTGAGCAGGTCATTGGCAGAGGAGGCGAGAGATGCCATCAAATATTCATGAGCCCATCTGTGTCTGACCGGAGGGACATGGGGACTGTGTGTATTTTGTGGGGTGGGAGGGACAAAGAAGCTCTTAATCTTCAGCCTACATACCCCGCCAAGCCCCCCAGGCCCCAGATGCACAGGCGAGAAACCCAAGTGTCCAGGTGGCCCTGCCGCCGCTCCCAGCTGCCGCAGCTCTTCAATGACCACCTGGACACCACTTCTGAAGCCTTCGGCCTCTTGTTCCTCCTCATTCTGCTCTTCATTGTCCTCTTGCCGCTCCTCAGGACCACTCAGGGGGCTGGCTTTGACGACAGGGGCCGTCCTTCGGCGCAGTGTCCCCATTTCCTCCTCCAGCCGCCTCAGGGCTTCATTATTGGCCTTGGCCAGGCTCAGCGCCACCTCAGCAAGGCCCACTGCCTTCTCTACACGCTGATAGATGACATGGAGCAGTTGCTCTGAAGACTGTACCGCTAGCCCACTGCCTGTAACCGTGATGGGGGTGCTGGATGAAGGTGGTGGCGGGGGCGGCGTAGTCGCCTGAGCCCCCGGCTCCTGCTTGCAGGTGCAGCAGCAGCATTTTGCCTCTTTGGTGTTGGGAGGGGAGAACAAAATTGTGGCACTGAATGACATGACGATGCAGGTTTATGAGGGTTTCTTGGTGTTCCCCAGCTAGTTCTCTTGGAGGAGGCAAGGCGGGCTTCAGATCTGGCCTTGAATGCTCTGCGGTGGAGGCATGCCCATGGCACTGCTCAGAAGGCTGGGTCTCAGCAAACAAGAGGAAGGATATTAAAGAAATATTTCTAAGAGTATGACTGGTGAGCAGACAGCCATGTTGCAGTACATCTGAACCTACCTGCTTCTGATCATCCAAATTGCTTAGATTTAGGCTCTAACCTCTGTATACAGATCTGCTGTTGCCAAACCCAACAGGGCAGGCCATTTCATATTTGCATTCAATCTGATATGTCTAAATCTGTGGTTTGGAAACTCCCCCCTCCCCGACCCCTTGATGCAGTTGTAATGCCCTTTGCTAGATGCTGTATTTTAAACTGCATTTTCCTTTGTTCTTTTATTTCTTATATTGTATCAGGCTGAATTACAATTTGGATTCCATAGAATTCAAATTATAATTCAATAAATTTGAGAAATAAAAGAAGCAATTAAAATACAATCAAAAATCATTATATTTAAGGCAGACACGCCACAGAACACCTGAATAAAAAAAAACCTCAACAGGCTATGAATCAGTTTGTGAGCCCCAATCTAGATTTATGCTCAGTGTGATTAACATTAGGAGGGATTCAGCACTATCTTCCAGCCACCCGACTTGTCCATTTGGATCTATATTAACCCACAGCTGACCTCTTGTAAATCTTACTGCTTTTACAGTCTATATCTATTGATTATTTTGGCAGTCAAAGTCCTGCAATGAACTCAAGAGCTGAACTAGCAGTTCAGGTTTTGGCTACCTCTTTCCAATTTCTTTGTAGAAGCACTGAGACCCTGCCAAAAGAAAGAAGTGGTGGGAAACCTCTGCTTTGTTTCAGTAGTTCACACTGTGCAACGTTTGTTTTTCCTCCTCAACAGTACAGTTTGCTTTTAACCAGTGAAGGAAGGTGAGGACAGGTGACCCCACCTAGGCCCAAAGTCAGCCCCCACCAAAGCAGGCTCAAAGCTTCTCAAAGCTTTTCAAAATCATTTTCTCAGCAGCTGAGCATCAGAAACCTTCCGCTCTGCTGTAACAAAGGTAGAGAACAGTCCATTGTTTCTCAGGCCTTTCTCATGCCTTCTGGCCTTGCTAAAGAACCACATTGCAACTTGCTTTCTGTCCGGGAACCATGCCAGAACAAGAGATTGAAACGTATCTGAACACTCTGAAACCCCTTTCCTGGGAAGGGCGCCAAGAGTCCCAATAGTCCCAGGACAGCTTTCTGTTCATGCTCAGAGGACTCCTGAGGAAGGAGAAAGGAGGAGGGAACTGGAAAGGGGTATATATGCTTGTGCACATGATTGTGAACTCGTGCATGCTTTTTGAGAACTATCACACTTGCTCCTTCTACCAGTTCATGGATGGTAGAAATAAAACTTTTTCTCTGAAACTATTCCTTGAGTGTCTGTTGACTCCCGCTTCCCTTTCCCAGGCGCAATATCTTTCCCACCCGAGGGCAAAGCCTCATAAGGCTACACCAGCAGCGCATTCAGCTCTTGCAAAGCACTTGCAAACAGCCCTTGAAGAATGTTTTTGAATCTCCGTAACTAGGGACGGAGGAGGGGACCGAGTCTGAGGTGATAATGGAAAGTAAAGCGGAGAGGGGAAACTATCCATCCTCACCCTAGGAAGCTGTTCCGCTTTTCCAATTTCAACTGCTCGAAAGTGGTTTTAAAGTTCACGCAAGGCGTCTCTTTGCATATTTAAAATTCGCAACCCCCAAGGCGGGAAACGTGCCCGGGGCTTCTCCTCGTTTGGATCTGCGGCCCAACGGTTTGGAATCCTACGCTCCCCAGCATTCCATCCCGCGTGTGCAGCTCCCGGGGTGGGGGGGGGGCGGGGAGGGCAGGAGAAGCAAGAGCGCCGCCGTCGTGTACGAACGGCACAGCCCTCCGTCCGCCCCGCCGCTCTCCGATAGGCTATTGCGGAAGAGCAGGAGGGAGCCGATTGGCTGCAGACGGTGGCGCCTAGGCCCGGGGATAGGAGCGAGGGGCGGGGGAAAGGAACATGGACAGGGGAGAAGGGGGCTCTCTGAGGAGGTCCGCGAGGCTGGGCCCTTTTCAAGGCCGCCTTCCCCACACTGGGTGGTCGAGGGTTTTCCTTTCCGTGGCCCCGCGAAAGGCGCCGGTCACCGTCTACGTTTTAAAATCCAATATAAGGACATGTCAAATACCAGTAATTACACACCAACGACAACAGCGTATAAAATAAATGATTTCCAAAAAAAGTTGCCTTGACTGGGGTATCTTCCAAAATGGCTGACCAGGCCCAAGGTCATGTCAAGTCTGCGCCCCACTGGCACAAGTCCTGGCACACAGGGGCACTGACCATGGCCTTGAATAAGAAACCCACCACATTTAAATCCTCATTTTCTAATAATATTGTTTCTCCCTCCATTTATTGCTGGGTTTTGTTGCCCCCCTGCCCACCCAGTTACTGGGTATCTGATAAGTATTTTCCCCATAAGTCCTCCTCCCTCAGCTGGTATCCCTGACTAGCAAAGCTGTCTGTCCCCAGTGGGCTTGTGTGTCACTCACAATTTAAAAAATTACGTGGCCAGTCTTTCCCTTCTTAATTTACCCTTGCTTTCAAAGTGAAGGTTAATTTATTACTTGGGGGAGGGGAAATATTGACAGGCCTCACAGCGCCTGCTTCCCAAGCACCTGACACAACCCTTCCACACAAAATACTATACGGATCCTCCAATTTATTAGCTGCCATGTTCCCACTGCAATGTCAGGGCTAGCACACCCCCAGGGTCATAAACACTTAGAGTACTCTTTTATTCCAGGGAAGACAGGCGAACTAATGCCAGTGTACTGGAAGAAGCAAAGATCAATAGTGTCGAAGCAATGATTCTTCAACATCAACTTCGTTGGACTGGTCTTGATGTTCGAGTGCCTGATTATCGTCTTCCAAAGCAACTACACTACTCTATTCTGAACTTAAAAATGGAAAGCGTAATGCTGGCGGTCAACAAAAGAGGTTTAAAGACTCTTGAGGCAAATCTATAAAAATGTAGAATAAACAATTGGGAAACACTGGCCTGCGAGCTCTCCAATTGGAGAACAGTCTTTACCAAAGGTGTCCTGGGCTTTGAAGACACTCGAACTCAGGACGAAAGGGAGAAACATGCTAAGAGGAAGGCATGTTTGGCAAACCCTCACCGTGATCTACACCCACCCAGAAACAAACCTATGTTTCCACTGTGGAAGGATGTGGGGATCCAGACTTGGCCCCCACCATGTTCATGGCAGGCAATCTTACTCAGTTACGAGTGATTACCAAAGAAGAAGAAACCCTTTTATTCCAGGTTAATTTAAGTCCAAAATGATTCCACAGCCAGTCACTAATGAAAAATTGGGCCAAAGGAAATTCACCGTTTCACTGCTTTACAGCAATCCTGACAGGGTGAACAAAAGAATTAATAATGCATGTTAGCATATTTGTCACCCCAAATGATATTGAATAAGCCCCCTGTGCCTTTTCTAATCACCCTCTTGTAGAAACAAAAGCATGATTAGATTGAGACGAGAGAAGGTATATTTGATTAAAAAATCCGACGCAGATGCATGCATTATTCCTCTGCAAGCCTGATCCTGTAGACACACATCCTGTGTGCCTAATTAGTATACTCACAGCCTCACCTCTCCACTTATTTTCCTATCCGCTCTTCTTGAAACACCATTTACCTCTACAGCATCACAGCCAAATCACATTACTTTACACAGCGTTAAATAATCCAGACTAACTGCCTTGTTATTAATGACCACTACTAATTCCCATTAAAATTCTCACATCATCCACAATAAAATGAAGAAAGGTATTCCCCCCCCAAACCCCATTCTTTAAAGCCCCATAGCAGTTAAAGGGCTTGGAGGGGTAAACTAATCTATGATCTATGATATCTGAGTGTTACCTATTTTCCTGTACACTTATCCATTCCTCAGCATTATATAGACCTCTTTCTCCCTCTTCGCTATATCCATGTATAACAGCCTCCAAAGCTACTCTGTTCCTGCATGTACATATATTTTCTGCCAAGCATATCCCTGCTCTCCTGCTTTCCCCCCTCCCACATTCTGCCACATACAAGCCTCTCTCTCCCTTGGCGTATATTTTCCCTGGCAAGGCCAAACAAGGGATTGGGGTGCCTCCCTTTTCAATCCCTCCCCAGATCCTTTCCCCCCACCACCCCCAATTCCATCCCACACGTCCATGGGAAAAGGATACTGGAAGGTCGTGCAGCTCTTTGTATTCGTGTGTGTGCAAAGGGGGAGGATGTGCACCCTGCTGCCAACCGCCACACCCCCATGCTCCCCCCTTCTGCCCTGATTGGCCAATCTCCTGTACGCACACAAACACACACCAAAGCTGCACACGCATTCCTGAGCAGGGCCCCAGCAGGGGACACCTAGACTAGCTGGGCACTGCCAATTTCCCCCTTTCCTGGACATGTACAATCAGGCTGTTTTTTATTCCTCCAATTTACACTTCCCTTTGATCCTTGGCACCCTCTACTTCTGCATGCTATTTTGTTTCTCAAAGCCTTCCTCTCATGCTCCTGCTAGTCCCTCGTGTTTCTTCCTTCTATATTTCACTCCGAACTGTTTCTGTTATTGCTCTCCCCTTGGCTCTTGTGTACACACAGCTTTCATCTCATTGCCTTCCTCCTTCTGTTCATCCTTCTTGCCGGCTCTTCCCTTCAACCTTTGCAGCTGTACCCCCCCCAACCCAATCCAGGAAACCCCTTGGCCCATGCCTCACTCATTTTGTTGTGTACTGTAACCCTAATTTTCTTCCTCTCCACCCACTAAACAAGCATGGGGGGGGCAGATTTGGAAAAGGAAAGGCCATTTACCCAGGAAGGTTTCTTTTGTTTTCGACTCTCTACAAAACTACGCCTCCATCTTGGCTGCTTTGTTCATTCTGTTCCTGCTGCCCTGCAGCTGGCAATAACCTTTTCTGTTCACATTAGGTTCTACGCACTGCACACACATCGCTCGCGTCAATTGGGTGGGAACCAGAAAATCCAACGGTGCATAAAAGTATTTGGGATGGCTATGCTTGGCGAGGGGGCCAGCATGGGTTAATATTGGCATGCACTTCTTCATCTGCGACTGTCAACATTCAACAAGCATAGATTTGGGGTGGGTGAGGGGGTGGGATCCCTACGAAAGGCAAGGGACTGGTTTGATCAAACGTGTGTGAAGATGCAAGTGAAGTAACGTGGGCTATCATGGGGGAAAGGAGCAATTATTTAACAATCGTTTGACTTCCTCCCTCCCTTGGTATCGGCAGACACGTATGCTTCAGTGCCTGTGGGAACAGCCGACCTTCTGCTTTCTTGCCTAGGAACAATGAATTTCAAGAGACATTTATCTCCCACCTCCTGTGCCCAATCACTAACGCCCACAGAGGCAGCCAGCATGTTTGCCCCTCCAAGGCATCCCTCCGTTGGCAGGAATCCAAAGCCAACAACACACCTCTGACGGGACTGGAGTAGCCAAGATTTCCCTTGCCCACTCTCGTTTTTCAAGTGAAGACAAAAAACAGTTTGGACAGCAGAAGTTTAATTCTGAACAAGGAAAAAAACCCCAAATACTACATGAAACATGGGTTACAAGCATGAGACATCTTCCCAGACAGCGGCATCTGTGAGTCCCGCCCTTCCTCCAGCCGACAACCCTTAAAAGACCACAAATCAGCACCCCAGCCTTCTCCCAAAGTCCATCATCTCAAGCTACTGTTTCTGTAGCTTTGTCATTATATAATTCATGCAGTTTGGACACGTCATCGCTGGAGACACGGACCCAGCCATCCTGGCGTACGTGGTAGAGGTTGACTGTGCCCCCAGAGTAGGCATCGCGGTATGTAGCCTGGTAGATGGCGCGACGGGCCAGATCGCAGGCTTCTTCGACGGTGAGATCGTTAGAGTAGCCACGGTCCATCACTCCGTAGGCGTAGACAGAACCGGAGCCCACTGAGAAAACTTTGCCCGAGATGCGGTTCCCTTCACTGTCCACGTAATAAAGGCCTGAAAGGCAAGGCGGGGAAGTTTGTGTTACTGGGGCTTTTCACAAAATCATTACAATTATCGTATCAGCACCAAAGGTTGCCTTGCACACCCTTCTCCCCTCCAAAAATGATCTCAATTTCTATACCATGATGCATAGCCCATGTTTTTAAACAGGTTGATGGAAGGGAGCATTCAGTCCTCTGAGCTTCTTCCAGCAACCCTCTCCAAGTTTCAACACCCAAGTGCTACAGTTCCTGATGCTGCCGCATGTGTCCCAACATGGGGCTATGCAACATCCAAAGGAAATGTGGCAACTGGAATGCTAGGCTGGGGAGGCGTACGTTTATTGGGAGGAGCTATAGCTATGCATTTTGTACCAAGCTCAAGGATAAACTTGGCCACAGCTCAAGGCATCTTCTGCCCAGTATTCCCTGCTCTAATCAGCCCTCCTGGACCGTTGACAAAACCCAAAAGGATTACCGTATTTGTCACTCTATAAGACGCACCTAGTTTTTGGAGGAGGAAAACAAGAGAGAGAAAAATTCTGAATCTCAGAAACCAGAACAACAAGAGGGATTGCTGTGCAGCAAAAGCAGCGATCCCTCTTGCTGTTCTGGCTTCTGGGATAGCTGTGCAGCCTGCATTCACTCCATAAGACGCACACACATTTCCCCTTTTTAGGAGGGAAAAAGTGAGTCCTGTAGAGCAAAAAAATACGGTAATTCTTCAAGATCAGTTTCCCATCCTGATGGAACAAGCTACAGATACCTTCACAATGAAAACACTGGGGTTTCCCTTTCTATAAAAAGAGCTGCAACACACAGCTATGTGTCCTGTATCCTACACCAGAAATAGGGAACCTGTAGCCCTCAAAATGTTGCTGGTCTCCAACTCCCATCAGCTCCAGCAAGCATAGCCTATGGTCAGCGATGATGGAAGTTGCAGTCCAACACCTGGAGGAGAAAGGTGGTCCTGGGAAAATTTTGCTTTTAAGTGTTTAGGTGGGGGATGGAATCCTTTGGGGAATGTTAAATGAAGACCTATTTTAGGATATTCTGAAATTGTAGGCACTGATTTAGAAAGAAGTGGGCGGGGGGGCGTTTTGCACTGAGAGCACAGCCTTGGTGACGGAAAGGGTAGAATATGATGTAGAATATGGAACAAGATGCCTAAGTCAGAGGAATAACGGAAAACAGAAAGGTTTATATCCTAGTCCTTTGCATACTTGGATGCAAAGTATCACAGATTTCAGGGGAACCAAAGACTGCAGCTTCGCTTAGCCCCAACCATATTTAGACATATTGGGTATTCCACATGGAAAGACAGCATGTAACAAATAAACATATGAGAAAGGGATTTATCAAAGGGACTAGTCAGTGCAAACACTGAGGAAATTAAAAATGTGCAGAGCCCATGTAAATTCTTTGGATTTTTTCCTCAGGAGAGCAGCCAATCTGGCCCAATGGTCTGCTATGCAAATATTAAAACCATTTTAAATAGGATCACCACACTGTGATTCTACGCTAGTGCAACCAAGTGCTTCCAGAGGATGGGTACCAACCATCTATGTGGGGATTGTGGGAATCTTCCTGCTGACAAAAGCAAGCCCAGTCAACTTAGTACATACACCCTTCCCCTGGTATCCTCCAGAATTCTTGGACCATTGCTCCCAACAGTCCCAGAAAGCACAGCTGTGGACTAAAATATCTGGAGGGAACCAGGTAGGGGAACATTTAGTAAAACCCATGTGCATGGCACAGCTAGCTGTACCAAAGCAACAATGGCTGTACCAAGCACACTCTACCTGGAGATACCACCTCCCTAGTTAGCATATTCAACCTGGAGGCACAACCACCCTTGCTTCTAGACACATTTTTACACAGCCAGAGACTTTGCAAGAGTTTCTAGCAGCAGCCCTGCAGAAGCTAAATAGGTCGGGGTCTGATCTGTGCCTGAATGAGAGACCCCTTGTGAGCCCTACATGCATCATCTTAAGTTTCAAGATGGAAGAAAGCAGGATATAAAATAATATACTTAATTGGTAAACTATAATAACCTCACCACTAGCAAGTTGGTTGTAAAAGTGCAGCTATGACTACAAGTGAGACATTGGCCCCAACTGTCCTATATATTTGAAGCAGCATCACACCATTTTAAACAGTCATGGCTTCCCCCAAAGAATCCTGGGAAATGTAGTTTGTTAAGGGTGCTGAATGTTGTTAGGCTGCTCCTATTCCCCTCACAGAGCCACAACTCTCAAGACTTCCCAGGGAAGAGGGATTGACTGTTCTGTGAACTCTGGCTCTTGTGAGGGGAATATAAGCCTCATAACAACTCTCAGCTGTACCCAGGATTCTTTGGGAGAAGCCATGACTGTTTAAAGTGGAATGATACTGCTTTCAATGAATGGTGCAAATAGGGCGACAATCAGTCACTTTTCCAATACAGTGGACACTCGGGTTGTAAAAGTGATCCGTGCGAGATACACGTTTGCAACCCGCAGCGTTCGCAACCCGCAGCGGCGTGTCTGCACACACACAGATTGCGATTCAGCACTTCTGCGCATGCGCAAAGCAGTTTAGCACTGTGCATGCGCAACCGCCAAAACCTGGAAGTAACCCATTCTGGTACTTCTGGGTTTCAGCAGATATTTTAATCCAGCTAGCAGGGCAGTATGTTTCCTATGTTACTGGCTCCACCTCCCTGCAGAATTGAACACTTACCTATAAAGAGTATTAATGTGCTGTAGTTTCCCAAGGAAGTAGAAACAAATAAAAGTGAGCTAGAGAGAGCAGGAGCCAAAGTATCACTTGAGATGCACAGCAGAATTCAGAACCAGTGCATGTTCTTTTCCCAGTGTCAAAATGCAATGTCAGAAAACCCAACACAAAACTCGAACAGCATGTGAGGTAGGGGTACAGCCTTAATTAGTCCTAAACCAATGCAAATGTAAAGGTTGGGGAGTCTCAGAAGGTAGTTTTAAGTGAAGAAAGCAGGGAGAGGAAGACACTGGACCCCAGAAAGGTAATCTCAACCATCATTAAATTTTTTATCCTGCCCTTTCTCCCAAATGAGCCCAGGGTGCTAGATAAAAAAATATATGTGCTTTCAGGAACATCACACAATGGATTTATCACCGCCTGTATAGCACTTCCCACAGCAAATGCCAATGTAAATACAGACAAGGATTGTGGAGTCACCAGAACATAGGGGTGGGTATGGGCATGATCAAGGGAAATACAGTCATACCTCGGGCTGAAGTTGCTTCAGGTTGAGCGCTTTTGGGTTGCACTCCATGGCGACCCGGAAGTAATGGAACGTGTTACTTCTGGGTTTCGCCGCTCGTGCACACGCTCAAAATGACGTCACGCACATGCGTGGAAGTGGCAAATCGCGACCCACACACACACAGTTGCAGGTTGCGTTCGCTTCAAGATGCAAACGGGGCTCTGGAACGGATCCCATTCGCATCCTGAGGTACCACTGTAGCGCAAAGGCTAAATCTGGTTAGAATTTAGTAAGACAGGGGAGCGGAGAGGACATTTAAATCTTATGAAAGCCCCCCCCCCCCGAAAAATGTGGTGTCCTCACCTGGCCCTCGCTTGTCCCAGCCACAGATCATGGTACCCATAGAGAGCCCCATTCCCTTGTACTGATACACCATGTTGGCCAACAGCTTCGAGGCAGCAGCCACCGATATCTGCTCCTTGTTGCGGAGTTCATAGATGCGACACTGCCGTGCCAGCAGCCGCTCCCAGAAGCTGCAATCGGCTGCACCACCAGCCATGGTGCCCAGCAGGTAAGGGTTAATCTCGATGACCTTCTTGACCGTCTGAGAAGCAATGTAGACACCTGCTGTTGCCCGGGAATCCACGGCCACTATCACACCATGCTGAAACTGGAGGATCAAGGAATCAAGAGGTCAAGATCATGATCAACAAACCACAAAGGATACACACAACCAGAATGCAATCCAAAGTGTGCCCACCTTGTTTGAAGGCACCAATGCAAGAAGGTTCCTCACACCCCATTACATGGTCTAGGTGATAAGATACCATCCTGAGGCAACATTCACCTGCCAATCCAGTATGGGATTTGCCAA